GATTTTAAAAAAATCTGATTTTTCTTCCATAAATTCACGGATTCATGATATAAATGAGTATAGAATCATGAAATATAATCAATATAGGATAAGGAACACTTACCCCAATGTTTTCCCGTAAAAATCGACCAAAAATCGCCTTACCCGAGCTCAAAAATGGGAAGGAGTTGAAAATGGGTCGAAACTCCATTCCAGAACTTAAGTTCCGTTTCTGGGATTTTTACCCTACGCGTGCGCGAAGGTACTCTCGCGAACGCGAAGCACAACTTTGTGTTGTCCAACTTTTACTCTTCGCGAACGCGAGGGCTACTTCGCGAATGCGAAGCTTGCCTGGCTTGGCCTTCGCGAACGCGAGATGCCCTTCGCGAACGCGAAGGCAATTGACCTGGCCAGTCTCTTTCCCTTCGCGAACGCGAGGCTTCGATCGCAAACGCGAGGCTACGATCGCGAACGCGAAGCTTCGCATCCCAAGCCTTCGCGAACGCGTTCTCTCTGTCGCGAACGCGAAGCACAAAATGTGCCAGCCCCAATTTGCTCTTCGCGAACGCGAGACTCCCCTCGCGAACGCGTAGAAGGAAACCAGAAGCAAGTTTCTACAGTTTCCTCAAGTCCAAAAATGATCTGTTAACCACCCGAAACCAACCCGAGCCCTCGGGGCTCCAAACCAAACTTGCACCCAAGTCCTAAAGCATCATTCGAACTTGCTCGCGCGATCGAATCGCCAAAATAACACCAAGAACTACGAATCGGACACCAATCAAAGGAAATTTTCAAGAAAATTTTAAAACTTATATCTTTACAATCGGGCATCCGAATCACGTCAAATCAACTCCGATTCTCACCAAATTCGACAGACAAGTCATAAATATTATAGTAGACTTATACCGGGCTCCGAAACCAAAATACGAACCCGAGGTCAATAAATCCAACATCACTAATTTCTTAAAAATCATTAAGCTTTCAAGCTTTTAATTTTTCATCAAAATTTTATATCTCGGGGTATGGACCTCGGAATTCGATTTCAGGCATACGCCCAAGTCCCAAATCATGATACGGACCTACCGAAATTGTCAAAATATTGATCCAGGTCCGTTTGCTAAAAATATTAACTAAAGTCAACTCAATTGAGTTTTAAAGCTGTATTTCACATTTTAATTCATTTTTCACATGAAAACTTTCCGAAAAATTTTACGGACTGTGCACGCAAGTCGAAGAATGATAAATGGTACTTTTCGAGGTCTTAGAACATAGAATTTCTTATTAAATTTAAAGATGACATTTTGGGTCATCAGAGTAATAATATTAATGTTTAACATTTAAATGATTGTTGTCTTTTTATCACGTTAATTACTTTACAATGATCATATCATCTTGTAAATAATTTGTTACTAAATTTAGTTAGTTGTTCTTTCACATTAAAGTTTTGACTAAATATTTACGTGCAACGCATGTACATATTAACTAGTTATATTAAAAATACGAACGCCCTTAGCGAAATGTCATTCGCCTTTTTTGCCCCTTAACAATAGATTTCGCTGTGGATAAATTTGTAATTTAATTATTAGTTTGAATCAATTAAAATATTAATTATTAATTATTAATTCTTTCCTTATTTAAACTATGTAAAAAATCTAAATATTTTAGAAATTCAAAATCAACTATGATTTTATTTGCATAAATTCTTTCTTTATTTGAATTATGTAACATGATTTTTATTCCTTCCATATTATTTTACCTGATAGTATAAAAAGACTTGCTAATCTATAGTACTTCGCCAACTATATATGCATTGCTCTTTAGTAGGTGAGTTCTTTATACTTTTTTTCGATTGTTATATAGAATATTGTTGTAATCTTTGGAGTTTTTTCTTATTTTAGTTTGTTGTTACTTTTATTTTTAATGCTTTTATATGGGTTTTGGAAGAATTATTTTCCGTTAATGTATTTTTCTTTTCTTATTGACCGTCCAATTCAACTTTTTTTAGGAGTAAAAGATTATGTTGATTTTGGATTAAAAGAGGTTACACGTTTAAAGAAATATTTAAAGACTAATGTAGATCAATATGGATTTCTGTGACTAATCTGCAGGTTTTCATTCTTAGTCAGAAGCTTCTTTCAAAATCTTTGAGGCTGCCTTCTTTTCTTTTCTTATTTCCATCCAATTTAATTTTCTTTTAGTAATTAAAAATTATGCTGTTTGAGATTTTGGGTTAAAAGAGAATTCCTCACGTTTGACAAAAAAATCCAAACACCATTGTCGCTAATTTATAAAAAGCACCACTCTAGCATCATATATGTGCAACAAAATGTTGATTCTTCACCTAACATTTAGTAATTAAAATCAATTAAATTATAATTACTTTATATAGTTTATTCTTTTTATTAGAACAATATACCATTATTGTAATTCCTTCGACGTTACAGTCAAATATTTCACCCTTAAGATGAGCTAATATTAAAAATTTTAATCAATAAAAATAAAATTAGTTCCTTTAATTTTGAGGATAAATAATTAAATATTTGAGTTAATTAGTTAGCAAAAGAACTCAATTCAATTATTTTTTAAATTCATTTTATAAGTAAAGATTATTTTTTTAGTTGACAAAACTTTTAGAATACATAAATTTATTTCCATAAGCTTGTATTGAGGGCAAAAAAAATCAGAAAAAAAAGAGCAAGACTTGAAGCAATAAGAATGAAACAATAAAAGACAACATATTAAATTACTATTAATTATTTTCCTTTCATTTTTTGCATTAATTCCAATAAATGATATTTTTCTTTATTTTCTTTACAGATTAGATTATTGGTTTTAAATTTAAACTCAGTAATATACTTATTATTAGTTATCACTATTTTTGATGAGCAACCTTTTCATTCCGGAATCACAAACGACCAAAAAAATAATATTTTAATTTGTGTTATTTGACAAATCTTTGAAGAATCGTGATAAGTTTTTTGTATGACCTTTTTTATTTTTGTCATAAAAATAATATCAATTTCATAAGATATCTCATAAAAGTCGTCAGAAATCACAATAAAACATCTAAGAACTTTTATGGGACATAATATTTTCCTTTATAGTGCTAGCTAAATGGGATCAATATTCATCACTTTCAAAGCTTACACTTTTTTTAAAAAAAATATTTTATTTTATAACTCAAACACAATATTTATATATGATTAATGTACTTAAATTTTATAATACTAAGTATTAAGTGACATGGGTATACGCGCAAAGTGCGTACTTTAAAAATAAATTTTATCTATCTATACTATATTAAAAGTACGAAATCCCTTAGCGAAATGTTGTTCAACTTTTTTACTCCTTTAAAATAGAGTTATAAAATAGTAATTTGATATTTTTTTAAACTATTACCCTAATATTTAGGAATAGCCACTTAATTATCCCTAATATTTAGTACTTTGACTTTTTAGTTCCTTTCGGTTCTAAAATTCCTACGTTTCTCAATTGAAAAGTTTCACCACTTTGAAAGATTTTTTATATTTTTTAATAAAATTTCACTTTCAACTCTATTTTGATAAAAAGAAAAGGAACTGGAATTTTACATCCTGTTGCGGTTACTTACTTTTCTACAACCTTTAAATTTATATAAGGAGCACTAGACATGGACGCATTTGCAATTCAAGAGTTCTCAAAATCCTTATCTTCTTCTTTCCTACAAATAGTTGTCAAACAAATTTACAGGGTTTGCTAATGAATAGGCGACAATTAGTGGATTAGAATAATGATGAATAGCTAATTAAAAGTTTTAGATTTTTCTTATGAGATACTTAATCTTCTAATAGACTCTATTCTTGAGTCCAATCTTGATTAATATATTCCAACTCGTGTGATCTATATTTCTTTTGTCTTTGCTTAATGTCTATTAAGATGTAATAGAATAGTAAGATGAATCTCTATTATGGCTATCTTTCATATTTCCTTGATTCATCGTCTCTTGAACTGTAAAAATGTCTAGAGAATACGTATTTTATCGCGTTCTAAATTCTATTAGCGACTCTTACATGATATTTTAAGAAAATTACCAAATATTAACCGAACCGTACCGACACCAAAGAGAAATCGAGATGACCGGGACGGTTTCAAAAAGTGTTATTTTTGTTATATAAAATAGAGTAATCAAAAAATTACTATGATATAAATTTAATAAAATAACCGGCTGAATCAAACTATTAAATTTATCTTGCTTGCTTGGATCTTTAATAACGTTTTAACTTTTGTATTTTATTGTATAAAGCGAATATAAATATAATACTTAGGTGAATTTTTTTTTAAAAATTTAAATTTACTAAGGCACTGTACACATGCAAAATACATAGCTTGTTAAAGCACAGACGTATGCAAAGTAGCAGTAAATAACTTTTTAAAGTTTTTAATGATAACAAATTGTAACTCTTGAATCTTATTATGATGAGTTGGATCTTAATTAAAAATTAAATTCTTGAATCATATTAGGATGACCGATGAGTGGCATGACATGAACCAACTGGAACAAGAGGATGAACCATCGCGAGTGGATTCAAATTCCTAATATAATCACATTTATAATTTTAAGGAACTTGTAATTTTACTCAATATTTATTTTATAACTCAAATACATATACTTTAAATATTACTATTTTTATTGTTTTTAAAAGAATTTATTTTCATTAATATTGGGAACACGCGCAACGCGCGTACCCTAAGATTAGTATAATGTATAAGTTAGTTACACCATGTAGATTTTCCTTAATTATTTTTAGAACGAGGCATAAATAATTATTGATAATATTTTTATGTATAGTACGTGCATAATCATTTATAATTATTATATAATTTATGTATATTGACTAAGAAAAATAAATAATAAATCTATCCGACTATTTGTATAAAGATACTAGGAAAACCTTCTAATTGCTATCATCATTGGGCTTCTTAATGTTGCATATCGGCCCAATTAAGGTTCTGGCAAAAGAAATGGGCTCTTTAACCCGACTGACGGAAACAGTTCGCGAGGTTGTAATGACAGGGTACTGAAACGCGATCACTATTTGCCAGGAATTGATGTAGAGTAGTAATTTGAGATCCGGTGAAATTCTCGTTGTACATTTTCTCAAGAACAAGAATGGGGGTGATAATCGAGAACAATGTTTGGGAGCCAAATCCAGCACTGTATTTATTCTTCTTCATATCATGTTGCTTGTCAATCTACTATTTGCCAAACAGTAGCAGGAGTACTCCTGCCGTCTTCGATCACGCACCTTCCTCTTCCTTCCTTCGTTTTCAGAGAAGTTTCCTCTTACTCTTTTCTCTTTCTTCAGGTGACGCTATTTCCCCCCTTCTTTTGTCTGCCCACTGAATGTAGTATTAGGAAATGTTATGTTCTAACTAATTCATAGATTCCAATTACAGCTAAAATTGACGCATAGTAGTACTGTACATGTTTCCCTGTTTGTTAACTGTATTGTAAAAAGATTTCTTTGTTGCCAAACGAGAAAAATGAAACTCAGCAATTTTGGTAGTTTTTGGATGTCAAAATTTTAACTTAATAAAGAAACAAATTTAATCAGTGTGACTTAGCTCTGGAAATGGTCAAGTTGACACTTCATAAATGCAAAAAGTCTCAAACAAATTGGGGTAGATGGACTAGCTCATAATATGTGACGTTGGGCATTTTTTCCGAGTTAGATATTTTTGTTCATACTTCATAGCTATAGTAGATCAATACACGGTCTGCACAAAGTTGAGTTAATGAAGTTCAAATTTATCGTTCTATCGTGGAGTATCTATAGGAAATACATGCAGACATACTTCCAAAGCAATGCGCTTATCAGATTCAAAGTGTATTCAAGACTCAAAGGAAGCTATTCTAACAAATTGAATTAAAAGGTGTTGGTCGAGGAATCTTTACATCAGACATGGAGTGTGAATCAAACATATGTTAGAATTGATGATTAATGTCAAAAAGAAAAACCATGTTATAATTGAAATTGAGATTCTGATGCAAGTTCTTCCCTTAATAATTTGTTTATTAGCTCATTATACTAATTTACATATAAGAAATTAAGAATGAATTTTCAAGCTGATCCTGACATCATAGAATTGTCAAAATGCTAATTTAACTTGACGGAGATATGGTAATTACTTATCATTGAGCACATATTTAGGTGTACTCTCAGATCGCATATTGCGTCAAACAAAGGCATATTTTTCTTTTTCATTATGGACTCAATATAGTTAGTATATCTTTTTTGGTATCAATTTGGATTCAAAATCATTTATTTATTTATTTTAAGTTTACAGTGATGGAAGGCTTACTGACAGTATTTGGAGAGTATGAGTTGGCGTACCATGGCGTTAGTAGGGAGCAAATGGTCATCTCTCTATGTATTGGATACACAGCTGCTCTCTTTGTTGGTACTTTTTTGGGCATGCTCTCGGATTTGATGTAAGGGGCATTTTTGTCTAACTTTTTCCATGTTTACTAGGTTCCCTCTCTGCTTGCATAACCATTAAGGTTGGAATTAAAGTAGTTATGTTTGATTTTAATTAATTCATCCATTCAAAGTAAATATTAGATAGTAGAATAAAATATAATGCAAGTGATGAACTTTTCTTTATCACTTATAAAAAAAGGTAGTATACTGCAAGTTGCCATTTTCACGCATTTTGAGTTCCATAAAGAAAATATTCAAACTCTTAGGCTAAGATGATTTTGTTCGATCTCCAAAGTGAAACAAAATTGCCATTTTTTTAATGGAAAGGTGAAGGAAACAGAACTGCCATTTTGGGATAGAGGAAGTATCGATATGATCTTCGTTCCTTTGATGCATTCTTTTTGGACTGTGACATCATTTTCCTTCTGAACTGTCCAACAAAGCTTGAACTTGAAGCTTTGCGTTTGACCAGCATATTTTTTCAAAAGTAAATGGTATTGGGCCATGATAATTATCATTGTTATTTTCAATCGATTATTGCTCTCAAATTCGATGGAACACCATATGTCAAATCATTTTTTTTGACAAGTCAAGAGTACCCTCTGTCAAACTTATCATTGTGTTGCCTCTTCATGCAGTGGCCAGAGAAAAGTGTGCTTGTTATTTTGCTTGCTGCATCTTTTTGTTGCCATATGGAAGAGGGTTACTGGACATCCAAGTGTTTGGCTCGCTAGTATCTGTCTCTCTCTTGCCTCTACAATATTTTTCTTCAACTTTGAGACATGGATGGTTGTTGAGCATGATAAGGTTTGTCTTAAGGATCTCTTTTGTTACTATTATATAATTTACTATTGCACGTGGGAAGTATAATTATGAAGACTTATTATCTCAAAATTCCTATCCCTTTCTTGAAATGAATGAATGTATTAAATCTTTATCGAACAAAAGAGAAGAAGAATGAATGTAGTAAATGCAAAGGGGTTAGGGTGGGGGCCTGTGGATCTATAGTCTTTTAGAATTGCTTTCTTTGCCAACTACTTTAGCCAATTTTACACCTATTCATGCGGCCGCTGTAGCCGCATATGTGATTATATATGAACATTTCTCTCTTGGGATGTCTTCAGAGTCGGGTTATGTATTTTCTCCACGACTTTGAATCTTTGATACTATAGTAAGCTGAGTTCTCCTTATAATTGTTATGCAGCTTGAGCAGAGGCAGGATTCAGTCAATGACATGTTTTGGTTAATGACTTTTGTTGAATCTGCATCTTATATTGGAAGCCAAGTGGTTGGAAACTGGTTAATCGGTGTTCATGAAAAGACAAGTTTGCTTGCTCCATCCAGTGCAGTGGTAATAATGGCTCTTATTGCTCTGGCTTATGTCAGCCGAGGATGGAGGGAAGATCCAAAATCAATTGTTCTTAAAGATTATCAGAATAAGTTTCGTACCTGCATACTTGGTGGTATGAGTCTTCCATTTTTGTGCTTATGTTCCTTTTACTGAAGATATTTTGCCCAGTTTGGGTACTCATATTGCATCTATGAACCCAAAGCAGTTATGGTGAGCAGGAAGAATGACATTGAACTTTTTTGTTGTCACAATATAACTAGGGGACATGTTTTCATAGCTGATTGTGACATTAAAAGAAAAATTGAATCAATGCTGTGAATCTCACCAACCTGATTTCCCCCTCTCTGCTCCAATTTCTCCCGCCTTCGCTGTACCAGTCCAAACTATGTGTAGCTACCTGGTTTTTCTTACTGTGGTCTTGTTTTGGTTGGTCGACTTAGCTCAAAATCACAAGTCCTTACTTGAGCACAAAATTCTCCATGTACTCCGGGCAGCTTCATGCCTCAAAATTGCTCATTTGCTTGGTGTTGAGAAGATCATGAAAGCATAACAGAGCTATAAAGCAGACGGAGAGTTGTCCTTCTTATAATAAATACTACCAGTTTGGTAGTCTTCTAATAGAAACGAGGTTGTACCTAACTTTTCGGCTTTTATGTTATTCGAAATGAAATGCATAAGAAATTAAAATGGTCCAGTTCCAGAAATTAGAAGCATTTTGCAACATCTTAATATGGTAAACTGAGAGGGAGAACATGCATCTGGTACAAAATACAGTTTTTGATAATGCATTAATGGGACTGGTTGGATCGATGCCTTAATCTTTTCCCAATTGTATATTTGGCAGATAAAAGGGTCTGGCTTTTGTCATGGACCCAAGCTACCGTCCACTTCTCAGTTGCAGTTTTTTGGATTATTTGGGCTCCAACTATCGTGGTATGATTTTGACTAGCTTCCTATAAAAGATATTGTTTCCGCGTTTCTGACTTTCCAATTTTCTCATTGAAAAGTTTCCTAACAGGAGTATTAGATTTGCTAATCTACTTACTTTCTTTTGCCTTAATTTTGAAGAGAGTAGTTGAAGAGCTGGTAGCTGAATTTATGTGTATGAAACAACACATCCTTGATTGGATTTAAAATTAAATATATTTTTCTATTTTTTGTCTCAAAATCTGAAATCGAATTGTGTCAAGGAAAACTGGATGGACGGAGTGTTCTAATTACTACTGTGAGAAGCCATCTTTGTAAAGATTCATGAGATTCATTAAGCCTTCTTTGAAAGGGTTGATGAAATTCATCTTATAATGAGAGAGAGTGGGTTGTTGACTGTTTGTGAGACACATTAAAATGTGGGCGAGTGGCTTTATAAGTGATTTTGTGAAGCCATCTTTTTATCATTGTAATCCATAAGTAATCTTTTGTGGCCAATAGCTGTACCTCTTAATCTTTGTGAACATTCCTTTATCAGGATGATATATTCCTTTTTTTTCCCTTCTGAAAGCCAATATCACTATATTTGTTCCCGGTCCAAAAAGATTGATATATTCTCCTTAAAGTTTGTTTGAACTTTTAGGCAGATGGGAGAGAGGTTTTGCTAGGTTTGATATACCCCTGTTTACTTGGTGCTAAAATGCTCGGAAGCACTGCATTTCCCTGGTTCTCCAGTGGCCCTTTATCACTTCGAACAGAAGAATGCTTAGCATATGCATGTATTGTTATGGGCTTCGTCACTTCCATTGTAGCTTTTGATTATCAGGTATTTTACCAATTCTCGTTTCTTCAAGCTGTTCAGATATCACGTGATGTCGTCAACCTTAATGCGATATAATTGCAGGACATTGAAATTCTTGTGATGCTATTCTGCATATTTCATGCTTGCGTGGGATTGGTTTTGCCTTCACTCGCCAGATTGAGAACCATGTAAACTTTGCTGCAGTTATAAATATTTTTATCCATCAATGGCTTTAGTAATTGTGAAAATCCAGCGTCGCCTGCTCTCATTTATTTTGCTGGAGATTAATTTTACTCAAGTTCCTTATCTTCCTGCGAAATGCAGGTATGTGCCAAATGAACTTCGTGGAGGGATGATGAGTTTATCCATTGCTCCATCAAATGCGCTTATGTTGTTCTTTCTGATTCAGGCATGTTCTCTTTTACCATATTATTTAATCGAATATTTCATCAGAAGAAATCCTCTCCTCTGTTTATAATGGCACTTTGTGCCGAGTAAAACCCATTTAAGGACGTAGTGCTTGAATTACACCTAGATTCTTGTTGCTTGGAAATTTAGGGTTCTAGGAATTATCCACATCTTGTCAGTCAAGATAAATGCAATGGAGTTATTTTTATTCTATTTTTATCTTCTGGATAACGTTTTAATTGATTGTATAGTGCAACATGTCACACTTCATCATGAGATACTTTCTTTTTCTGGTGATTTGATGAGTATTAAGATTATCTGCTATTTCCTTCTTTGGAAATTTTGCAGAGAGGTTTCTACCAGAGGATAGAAAATTCAACAATTATAGTTATGGGCGCTCTTGGTCTTTTTTCTGCAGCTGGATGCATGTATATGTTAAAGCGGCTGGGAAAGCAACCACACCAAAACTGGCACAAATTATGAGCCCTTCCGTTTTTTTTTAAAACTCTTCTATTCGTGTGGGGTGTTCCTGTATATAGTCGGTTAATTGAAAGTTTAAAGAAACTGCAGCCTTGGGATGTGATGACGGGTGCAAAGTGTCATCCTCTGCAAATGGAATATCAAGAATGAGATTTAGCCGATTTCAGCATTCTATTATTCTCACATTGCTTAAGTAATGAGGTCCCTTTGGAGATCAGATCACATGGAGTTCAATTTTGCTCTCAAGAGACTTTGCACTTGATGCCCTGAGAATGCTAAATGAACACTTTGCTACTGATAAGTTTTGGGAAGAAGCACAATATTAGAGAAGCAACAGAGTGTACGGTGGCTTTATTCTTCGGAGTTCTGATGACCAGTGGAAAATCTTGGAAGCATCTTAAGATGAAAGCGAAATGGTAAGAGGGGTTTTATCTTTCCTTCTTTCTTCATTTATTCTTTAATAAACAGACGTAACAGGATCACTCGATCACATTCTTGTGGTATGTTCTTCAATTATTTGGTTGGATTGCAGATATTATAATTTGAAGCATGATTACGTAAAGAATGACTTCACCTAAGGGTAATTTTCAATGAAATAAATTTTGGTGGGATGCTCGTCTTGGAATGTATATGCCAGATTTCAGTTTCATTTAAAATGGATGAGGCTGACGGAGTATGGTCAAATTACTAAACATGAATTGTTTTTGTATTCAATCTTTTTTTGGATAACAAAGGAAAGGATGAATTTATTATTGAAATTGGCAAATTATTGGCCCAATAGGTTAAAAAATGAGTGAGGTGGAATGGTTTTGTCCAATTCCCTCTTGATTAGCTCCAAATCTCACCTCGTCACCATAGGCCACTCAGCCCTCACCAATTCATCGACCCCACTAATTTTGTTTTCGTCTTGCGTTGGAGGCTAATGAAGTTTGATTTGAGTATACATAACAGTCCAATTGAAGTGTTGGTAGTTTCTCTTCTAATCAATGTAAGGGGTAGGGGTGTACAAAGAAAACCGATAAGATGCGTCAAATCGATAATTCGAGTTAAACCGAAAAAAAAACGATGTGATTTGGTATTGGAAAATAAAATTCGATCATAATTGGTTTGGTTTTAACTAAAAAAAGTCAAACCGAAACTAAACCAACCCGATAGTACATTTATACTCCCTCCGTTTCAAGTTATGTGAACATATTTCCTTTTTAGTTCGTGCCAAAAAGAATGATCAATTTTCATGTTTGAAAACAATTTATTTTTATGCAATGATTTATAGCCGCACAAAATATATGTGCTTCATTTTACACCACAAGTTCAAAAGTCTATTCTTGTTTCTTAATGTTCGTGTCCAGTCAAATGAGTTCACATAAACTGAAACGGAGAGAGTATAAAAATATTTTATACATATAAATATTTATTGTAATGTAATTTATAAATATTTCTTAAAGTTTTTCACGGTTTTATCTTTTAACGTATTATTTCAAGTTTAGACTTAACATTTTTGAATGATAAATAAATTCTAAAGCCCATAAATGTAGTCACTCAAACAAAGTTCAAATCAATACTAATGCTAACAAAAGAAATTCAATTAAATATTAGGAATGACGATAGTGTTGGATAATTATTTTAGTTTTTTATTGATTTATAATGACAATGCATAACTTAGTTTATCTTTTTCTTTAGTGCTTAGTTATGTACTACTTATTAGCTATATACGAGTACTTATTTAGCATGACCTATATAGTATTTTTAGATTATGTGAATTTTCATTATGGCTTATTAATTAGCAATATTTGTTTTATGTAATTTTATTATTTTATCTTTGTTATTGAATATTTTAGTATAATGCTATGACTTATCTCATATTATTGTGTTAGTTTTTTGGAAAATACATTATATAATTGTATTTTACTAGGATTTAAGAAATATTTGGAGCACAAGTTACATATTTTATGCTATGAAGATTGAAAAAAAACTCGAAAACCCGAGATTGAAAAACCCGACTTTGTTGGTTTGGTTTGGTTTGATTTATAAATTTAAAAATCCGACACCATTGGTTTGGTTTGATAATTGAAAAATGCGAACCAACCCGACCTATGTAACCCCTAGTAAGGGGTGGTCTAGTTTGGTCCATAAGAACAAATAGTCTCAAACACACAACTTTGTATTATATTAAATGGTTTAAAAGATCGTACACCCTCCTTACAATTTTATATTGCAGATTTATTTTTTTCTCTACTAAATGTTTTCAATTATCTTTAACTAAAAAGTTTGGACTTAAGTTCTTGTAAGTACTTTTGAATATGTAAATTTCTTTTCAAAAAATGAATGAAGTAATGAGTAAATACGTAGAGAAAAATCTAATATTTGACAGTTGTACTTGAAATCTTTATATTTTAGAACCGGAATGGTTATTTGTACTTCTATCTGCTACCAAAAACGACCTTTCCTGTCCGTTCGTCACTCGTTGACTGAGTGAGCTTCCAAATAGATTTATAGGTATCCTGACATACCTTCAATTATAATTTGATCTATGGTGTTGTGTTCTTGCCAGAAAGGCTTGTTGAGACTTGAGTTGGGGATTTATTTTCGTCATAATTGCACCTGTAGATTTTTCAATTTAATCTATTTCACTAATTTGCAAATAGAGTAGCTAATTTCTACCATACAACAATAATAGAGATGTCATATCTCAATCATCATCGTCCTACAAAACGGGAACGCCAATTACTGAAATTAACGATTGCTTACCCAATGTGTACCCATTTTCCTGATTCATGACATAATAGCAGAAAGTACATACAAAGTTGATAAACATCATTTATCCATAGGCTATAGCCAGTAGCCACCAATGAATGTCATTATCTCATCGTCTATTAAGCACTGACGAGTGCTCAGAGACCTAACCCAATAATACCATTATTTCGACAGTTCAATCATTTCTCTCTCGTAAGCACTAATGTGTGGAACCGTGTGCCAATGTACAATTTTAGCATTATTTTTGAAAAAATAAATGTATAAAATTTATATATATATTTATATATTCCGTGTATGTTATATATAAAAATTATTTAAATTTTATACACTTTTTGGCTAACATATATAAATAGTTTATGGCGCGAGTAATAATACCCCATTATGTTCCGGTATTCATAATAGCTTTGGATGTATCAAATTCAATATGGTCACCTATCAAATTTAAAACAAGAAGGAAAAATACAGTTAACTTTCTGAATCAGAGCTAACATGAGGAGCAGGCATATGCTAGATCAAAGCAAGTTTAGCTGAAATAATAGCATACACTTACTAAGAATGTAATACAATTCAACAAAATGACAGAGATGTAACCATGTAGTGATAGTTCATATGATCAGTAACTGAAATAAAAATGCCCATTTAATTCTTCAACAATTAGAATTGCTTACAATACTTGGTATGAAACAAACACTGTACAGCGAGCAAGAAATTGTAAAAGACATACTTCTTCAGGTTATCCATAAATACACTTGAAACCCAGCTTCCACTTTTGCGCCGGAATGAAACATAAAATAAAAAAAACAACAACTTACAATAAAATAAACAGCAGCTATAGCTATAGGCTATGTGATACCATTAATTCATGTCCAAGAAATTGCCACTGGACTCCCCACCACATGCTTCTCATCTGACCACTCAATTCTACCAAATACATTCGTAGTTGAGGAAGACATTGATGGAGCTGTAAAAGTCACTGTATACGATTTCTTCTCATTCATCTGACTGAAACTCAATGTCTCAGGCTCAACCATAATCTTCACTGAATTACTTGGTGATGTAACAGTAACTTTGTATGTTCCAGCCGGTCCAACATTAGTCACCGTCCGGCTGTACTTGATTGAGCTTGAACCGGCACTCCCGGTTCGAGCTGCAGATTCTGCTGGAAATGACACAGCAAATGAAGGGTAATTCAAATCTGTGACGCTGTATTTTTTACTCTCATTGCACGTGAAGTTTCTTCTTGCTAAGCTGTTGATTTGTGATGGAGTATAATTCAATGCACACAGGAAATCGAGATAATCATCGGCGGTTATGTCGTAGACCAGTCCTGGGTTCAACGCTGAAACGGGATCCACGTGTCCGGCTCCGTGATCAAACGGCGTCGATGGTTTTCCCGTGGAGACGTCTTGTATTGCTCCGCCGTTCTTGTAGGCAGTGTAAGCGGTGGTCATGAGTGCTGAACGAATGGCGGCGGGGCTCCATTCTGGGTGGGCCCCCTTAAGCAAAGCCGCTAAGCCACTCACGTGCGGACACGACATGGATGTACCCGATATGATGTTGAACCCGACCCGTCTATCGTCCTCTTCTAACCCGGTTGGACCGACAGCCCCCGTCCAACCCGCTAGAATGTTAACACCAGGCGCGATGATATCCGGTTTAAGTATTTCTGGGGTGATCGAATTTGGGCCTCTTGAACTAAACGCTGCAACAACCGGTGACGGTTCAATTCCCACCTTTGTTCCTTCAAAAAGAATAGTGGCCATTGGATTAGAATCCGAGGTTAAATAATCCCTGATTGCATCCCCCGTCTTTTGACCCACCGCCGTCGCCGGAAGTAAGTGGGCGTCAGCCACTAGCTCCTCCCCATTCGCGGCGGTGTTAGTCAAAACCATGCCCGCCCCACCAGCTGCTTTTACCACAGATCCCTTTTGGACTCTAGCATTAATCCCTCTGTCACACAACACAATTTTGCCTTTAACTTTCTCAGGAATTAAAGTACCCGTCATACAGAGATTTCCATTAGTCACGTTGCTAGCATTACCAGCAAACACAAAAGGAAGCATTTTGTTAGACAATGAATTACCCTTGTAAAGTGAAACGCCTGAGAAATTTTTACCATTACCAAGGCTTACATATGCCGGAAAATCACGGTCCAATGTTCCGGCCCCAACGGTGGTGATCCAAGGTGCTACGTTGGACAAACTGTACGGGCTAGGTCCAGCATTTCCAGCTGAGCAAGAGACCAAAATACCCTTCTCCATAGCAGCAAACGCTCCAATTGCAACGCTGTCTCTGTAATAATCCGATATGCCTCCGCCAAGTGATAACGAAAGTACATTAACGTTATCATCAATAGCTTTGTCCATAGCTGCTAATATATCGGAACTAAAACATCCACCAACCCAGCAAACTTTGTACACTGCAACTCTTGCACGAGTAGCCATTCCACGAGCAGTTCCAGGAGCATAGCCAAAAAGGCTAGCGCCCTGAACAACTGAACCACCTGCTGTGGTAGAAGTGTGTGTTCCGTGTCCGTCATCGTCCCTTGCTGATTTTGACTCTCTGGACTCATCAATTGGACCAAGTGTAGTCTCATAACCTCTAGAAAAATACCTCGCTCCAATAAGCTTTCTGTTACAATTCGATGAACTGAAATTGGTCCCGGACTCACACTGACCTTTCCACGAAGCGGGAACAGGCCCAAGCCCAGTATCGTCAAAGCTCTTGCTTTCCGGCCAAACTCCAGTGTCCAGTACTCCGATAATGACATCACTCATAGCATCTGACTCAGGGAAGAAATCAGCGCCTTTGTCAAGGCCTAGAAAAGTAGGTGTTCGAGTAGTGTGGAGTTGGTATTTTAACTCGGGTAAAACAGAGAGAATCCCAGGTTGGGTTTCTAAGGATTCAGCTTCTTGAGGTGTAAGTCTTGCTGAGAAACCATGGACAACGTTGTTGTAAACATATAGCATCTCCGCTGAGTCAGAGACTGATTTCAGGGACGAGTCATACCAGTGAGCATGGTCGTCGTTAAAGGTTGCTGGCATTTGGGATTTAGCCATGTGAATGATGTATGTTTTCTTCTTCTCCATTGCCACTGACATGCGGTATAGCGACAGAAGTGCAACAACAAGAAGTATTACTGGGTATCTAGACATTTTGAGTTTGTGTATTTTTTCACTCATTCCCTAGTGCAAGAAAGGGAATGGATGAACAAGAAATGAGAAAGTGCAGTTAATATATATAGGAAAAAGAGAGGTAGGAGAGTGAACAGTTTATGTGGAGTGTGAAAACATGAAAAGGCAAGCTAAGAGTGTGAGAGTAGTAAAGTGGGGCTAGCTGGTGGGTGGGGGGAATAGGGTTCTTGTTTGCTTCTTATGAATGATTGGTTTCAAATAAAAAGAATATAAAGATCCAGCCTAGCAGAACAACTGATAAGTTAGTAATGATTAAAGAAGGAGAAGAGAAAAGAAGGATCAATTGATGACATTCACAGAAATAAGGTTTCTTTACTCTACTCCTAATCAAGAGAAGAGAAGAGAGCACAAAATAGTAGTATTGCTTACCTTTTATCCACTTCTTTTTCTTTATTTTTTAGCAGTGAGGATTCCTCAGTGCTAAACTCTTTTCACCTTCCAATTCACCTTTTTCTCATTGCACAAGAAAGCCAGAAAAAGCAGAATTCCAATTTCTTTTCTTTTTTGGTATTTACGTAGTTAATACTTTGAGTAAATTTCATTAGTGGTCATTTAGTTATGTGTTCATTACCCTAAATTTATTTTTTTATTTTTGGTTACGTAAAAATCACTCAACCTTGTTTCATTACCCAAAAATTACTTTTCTTTCTTATGTTACACAAAAATCATTTTATTATGCTATAGTTATCACAATAGTCACTTTTACCAGATTTTATAAAACTTTTACCTGAAAAGTCTATTATGCCCTTTACATTATAAATCCTCCCATTATGTAATACCTTATTTATTATATACTATATAATATATTTTTACCGAGGTATTTTACTTATAGTTAAAATAATTTTATATTATTTTATTTATTATTTTATAATATATTCATACATTTAATTTTGTCATAGCACTCAATTTGTTTAATCATATTCAAACATGAACATATATTGAAACATAAAAACGACAAAAAATATTTATTTTTTAATATTTATTTGATATAATAAAAACAGATTTAGTTAACAATGATAGTTTTTTATAGTTAGTAAAACTTTCAAAAAAATTCAAAGATATTTGTGTTTAATATTAAATCTTTTAAAGCTTTTAACTATAATATTATATTTTTTGAAATGTGTTAATTTGATGTGTTAGTGTGCTAAATGTGGGTATTTTGTTTATTTGTTTAACAAATATGGCTTGACTGATATAACTGTAAGCTTTAATTTTATAATTTTCATTAAAAATATTTCATATGTATGGTTAAGAATGCTGACTTGAAATTTATTCACAGTAATATTACTAACAAATTTAATAATGCTACCTCTATATCTTGAAAATTAATGTTAAGGAAAAATTAAATGTCAAATATATTATAAAAATAATAAATCAAACAATATTAAGTTATTTTAATTATAAGTAAAATACCTAGATAAAATTATATTATACAGTATATTATATAGAATGTATTACATAAATGGGAGATTTATAATTTCAAGAACATAATAAACTTTTTAAGTGAAAATTTATGAAATTTGGTCAAAGTGGCTATTGTGATAATTAGAACATAGTAAAATAATTTTTGTGTAACAAAAAAAAGAAAAGTGACTTTTGCGTAATAAACATCAAGTTGAATAACTTTTACGTAAAAAAAAAAAAAAATAACTTTAGGGTGATAAATACAAAGTTGAATGATCATCCTTAAAATTTACTCATAATACTCCCTATACAGTATCATGTCACCAAGAGAAGAATGAAAATTTAAAGTTAAAGGATTTTTAAATATAGAAAAGTTTCTTTCCATTGTCACATACTAAGAAAGAATACCGTACAAAATGAAATCGAGAGAGCATAAGAGTATGAAACTTCTACTAATATTTAGACTGCAGTAGTCGGACATCCAACTATGTATTTCTGTAGCTAAACTTACTTATTTGGTTCCTTAGTTATGGTATAAAATTAGAAATTTGGTTCTCAAGATTATGTAGCAAAATTTAAATTTTTGCCTTTCAACTAATCAACATACCACTAACAACAAACTCAGTAAAATTCCACAAGTGGGGTCTAAGGAGAATTTTGTATACATAGACCCAAAGGCGGATTCCGAATTTGAACCCATCATCAACACTGTTTACCCTCAAAATCGGATAACAATTGAATTTATACGTGGTTTTAAGGATACATGATCTAACTTGATACAAAATGAGAAATCAGATTCAAATTGAAATTAATGATAAAAAAGTAAATGCAAACCACACAGGTTGAACAATCTTGGCCTTGAAGATTGGTCACCCTCGAGTCAAAGATATTGCAATCAGTGCCGGAACAGAGTGATGAGATAATAATGACTAGAAATTACAGTTTATTGCTTTGGGGCGCGTGTTACAATGTCTTTTACAAATAATCAAACCCCCTTTATATAGTAGAGGAGCCCTACATTAGGTACAATTCTATATAAGGTAAAAAAATCTCATGATTTGCTAATTAATCGGTTTCATTGATACGTGCCGAGATTCCCGCCGTGATATCCGACCGGTTACAGATATTTCGGCCTTCCGTTATTTTGGTTCGATAATGTTTTCTCGAGCTAATTCGAGGTCGTGGTCAGTTTCGGGGTTACAGACTCGATAATATTGAAGACGCATGTTCTAACCTCGTGCCTAGGTTCGATGGAACCCAGGGTCGATCTTCAATCCATTATGTTTCATCCACGATCTGTCATGAAATAGATGAGTTCGGTTTCTACCGTACACATATAGTTCCTTCGTTTTTCGGAGAGTAAACGACGAGAAACGATATGAGCCCTCGATCCTTGTCTTGATACTTTGTGTCAGAAACGACAAAATGAGCAAAACATCTCGTCAGTCACATCTAAATGGTATTAAATATTCGTCAGTTGCTGGTCGGCCACTACAGGTTTTGAACCGTCATTTGCAAACTATAAATACTTCCTCCTTCGTTTATTCAAATTTTACATCCAATCTTTCCCTACTCTTGTTCTTGAAGAACCTTTGCATTTTCTAGTGTTTTCTCCAATTTCTTGAGAGCTTTGTAGGGGTTTCTCCTTTGTCTAAACTATTCAAGCGTACCTCTTTAACTCCTTCTTCTTCATCTTCATCAAAAAATGGCAAAGACTTCTAAGTTTGTTCCCCAAAAAGAAACTCCCTCTGCCTCGCGACCGGCTGAAAAGGAAAATGTTTCTGCTGCTACAGAGGAAACGACACCGGATCCCCCTTAAAGATGTTCGTTCCTACGGGGTGCCCGACCAGTGCTGATTTTAAGGTCGAGAAAACTCCATCGGTCCCGGGTCGGTGCGATCCAGTCTCGAGATATATATGCTCGATCACCGACAGCTTCCTCTCCAAGGTCAAGGAGGATTGCAACTGAGTTGGTAAGTACGTGGTGGTGCCTACGCCCGAGGAGGTGCCACGTGGAGGGTTTCCTGAGTGTTTATACTTATCCCTTCACGTTAGGCCCCTTGGACCCGGTCATCATCGCCTTTTGTAAGAGGTACGAGGTGACCCTAGGCCAAATTCATCCTTCCTTCTGGAGGATAGTCATCTCTTCTGCTTCTTTGTAAACAAGATCGAGGGGTGTCCCTTCACCATCGATTACCTCATGCGTCTGTACAGTCCCCGACTCTATCTAGGGGTGCTAATAAAACTTGCTCGTCGGTCCAGTAAGGTCCCATTCTCGAGCATTGACAAGGATCGGGACCGAGGCTGGTTGGGTCGATTCATTCGAGTGAAGACCTCGAACTTAATCCCGGCTGAGGAACTGCCATTTCCTAATAAATGGAGCATGAAGCGTAAGTATAACCTTGTCTTTTAGGTTTTGTCTATCATTTTTCTTTTGCCCTTCTTCTTATCGATTCTTTGTGATGCAGTTGTTGCTCGGATGCCGGATGCAGTTCCTCGACTCAAGGAGTGGGTCGAGGGCATCGTGTCGCCAAAACCCTATTCCGAGTGCGTGTGGTGCGAACTTTCGAAGGGCCGGTAAGAGGCCTGTGCTCATGGTGAGATTTCTCTATTGAGTGAATTAACACTTAGTTTTCTTAGCTGCATTCGTTCTCACTTTTTCTTCCTTTGTAGGTCTTCCCAAAGATGTCGAAATGAGGCCCCCGTCTGGTGATGAAGACATCCTTCTCGAACCATCTGTTCCGAGGCAGGATAAAGAGAAGAAGAGAAAAAGGGCTACGAGTTCTCTCGGAGAAGAAAAAACCAAAAAGGAGGCTGGTGCGCAAATCTAAGAAAAATGTCAGTACCCGAGAGGTCCCATCGGATTCGCTCATTCGACTGAGGGACGAGTCCAAAGAAGAAGAAGAAGCCTCGATCTGATGACCCGCATGAGAAGCGGTACCGAGCTGCCTCAAATCAGGGTAGCTGATGAGGAGGCAGTGGCCGAGGCCTCCGAACCAGGGAAGGACAAGGCCATTTTGCCCCGATCTGGGGAGGTCGACAAGGAGACCACATCCGGTACTCCTCGGGCTGAGGGATATGCCCCGAAGGATGCGTTGGGGGTGATAGATCTTTCCGGGTAACCATCGTTCACCGACTCCATGATAAATAAGGCCCATATACTGAAAGGACGCCCAAATGAAGGGCCTCAAGGGGTGGCAGATTCCTTTAACAACTTCTTCGATGGCTTCGATTCTACTGCCTCGGAGGTTATCACCGGGTTAGGTGACTTACGAGTACCAAAGAAGATGCCGTCTTCGGTAGCCATCGGATCTTCTTCGAGTCTGAGATTAGTAGACCGATTCCCAGCTCCGAGTGCAGATCCTGACCGAAAGCGGACAATCATCATATCCATACTTAAGGATGCCCAGGTTTTCTCCGCCCCGTGAGGGTTGCCAGCTATCTTCGATGCCTGGTGACCAAAGAGGATAAAGCCAAAATGGACGACGTGGAGGCCCCCTGTCTTTTAACGAAGCTCAACATGCGTTGAATCAGGTAACTTCGTAACATTCTTCTTTGTGTTCGTAGGCCTCGGTTCTTCATCAGGAAACTTTTCTCCGATATCGGGAAGAGTTAAACCAACATGAGGCCGAGACCCGGGAGCTTACTGAGAAGAGGGATGCTTATAAGCTCCTTGGTGAGAAGCTCCAGGCCGAGTTAGAAGCGGCTCGGAAGGAGCATGTCGACCTTGTCGAGTAGGTAAGATGAGTATTTGAAGTTAGTGACGATGATTCAGACACAGTGGCTAACGACCCAAACCCGCAGGTTCAAAAGAAACTTGACCAGATCGAGTAGCTCCAGGCAGAGGTGGACACGGTGAAAGCTGAGGCCCACGAATGGAAGAAAAACATGGACCGCATGGCCT